TACAGAGACCTCCCACGACTGCGACTTGGGGCGATTACAGCTTTTGTTTCATAAAGCGGGACCTTATTTGAACAGCCAGAAGCCATAGTTCATGTGCTGCAGGTTAAATCTTGCTCTTCACCCTAAGGACCACAGGTAACTCCCTTACAAAAGGTGTGGTGGGGAACCAAGACAACACAGCCTGGCAGCTCTCGGGGGCTTCGTGAGGCTCTCTGAGCAACCAGCACCGCTTCTGACTGCAGAGGGCAAGAGTTGGTGACGGGGAAGACAGCCTCACCGTGGATCCAGGCAGTCCTTAGCCTACCTTGGTTTCTCTCATCCGATGATGCCCTCCACCCCCTTCACTTGAAGACAGAAGATGTGCATCTACCTCGCAGAAGGCACAGTGGGTCTAAGGAGCTGGGGTCCCACCTCCACAGATATTCCCAAAATGCACTGACACCACCCTGCCAGGCTCCCCTCCTTCAGGAGCAGCCCAGAGGAACGCTGGGCCCTTTACCTACAGCACCTTCCCACTCTCAGCGATAACAGCGTCCTTTCGCTGAGGTCAAGGCTTAGCTACATCAGGGCTACGAAAAAATAGCCGTTAATTCCTCAGCAAGATCTGAAAATGGCAAAACAGGAAAGGGTGAAAACCCTTCAATACACTTTATTATAAAGTTAAATTACACGTTCTTTTCCCACCAAAGGACTGGGGGGCACGGACATCCCAATTCTGGGCATCTGCTTTGTATTAAATAAAACTCCAAACATGTCAGCTTCACAGATTAAACCCCTGCCATGAGCAAGTATGACTTACGCAGTCAAAATTTAATAAACATCCAACGTGCATATGCGTTCGAAATCGGTACTAAGCAAGGCCGTACAGATCTGTATCGGCTTTATCACTTACGTTTGGCATAAACGTCTCGACAGGACACTCCCGTGATCTCCAATTTCCGCAAGTTTTCGCAGACGCCGTATTCTGCAATGACACAGATAATAACGTCACCTCTGGCACCAAGGTGATTCTACCCAGAATCTTGGTATCTCCTGTTGGAGCAAAAATGAGATCTTATTAGGCGCATTCTTGCGAGCTGCCACGTTAGTGCAGGAATCTTATTTCTGCTTTGAAAACAGGAAACTAGATGCAATTTCATGGCAGTTTGGGAATCTAACACGTTTTACAAGCAATGCCTGCAACCAACACACCATAAGGAACAGGCAAACACAGCCGAGTTACAGATGCTTACACCTAGACCAGAAAGA